GAATTTATGGTAAAAAAATAAGAAAAATGAATAGTTTCCCCTCAAAATTCACGTCAAGACCTTTAAAATAAGACCCCTCCCATCCTTCTACGGCCATCCAGTCACTCACAATTTCTTTACAAAAATTTGACTTACGGAATTATATATATAGATTCAACCGTACCGCTTTATTTGATAAACGTTTATGGCTTTTCAATGAGGTAATTAAGTAGGAGGATGCTGTACCTCAAAACTCCTTAATTTCATTTAAATTTACATCATGAAATAATTATTCAGTTCCAATCACGCAACGATTTCCCTAGAGTACTTTGTTTATAGGAGTCTGTATTATGTTGATAACGTGCAGTATCCAAGTGTGAAAGTAGGTCAGTATGACTGAAGGATCGTTGTGGGCTAATTTTCACGCTACCTGGTAGCATAGAAGTTAGCTAAAGTTTGAGAAACTGCAACAATAAAAGTATTGACAGCAGCAGCAGCAGTAGCAGGGATGGCGTGCTACGTAGGCCGTGATGCGCCACACCTGTTCTATAGCCTACGTTAACAATGTATTTACTCGTGCATCATTATGTATGTTTTGCATTCATTGTGATTTGTATTTTATTTATATAACTAGCTGTTTGCCCGTTCTACGTACGGGAATCTTGTAGTAAGTTAAAACCTTATATTCAGAACAGGAGTTGGTTTGCATATTTAGTGTGCATTTTTCCAGATATGATGGCAAAACTATAACTGTTAAGGAATACATATAAACCTTCTCAAATACAATATCTGACAGTTTCAAAGCCAAAACGAATGCTTTGCAATTAAATGTCACCCGATCGTGTTAGTCCATATTTTATATCTAACGATGAAAGGAATTGCTTTACAGTATAGATCTATGAGGCATAGCCCTAAGGTAGGCATGTAATTGAAAGTTACTTTTCACACTGGTTAAAAGTAGTTAAAACACTACCTCAACCTCACTACTGCACACTTTATTCGGGTTGAAATTTTTATTAACAATGGTGCTCTTGTCTTTTCCACGAAAAATAAGGACATTAATGCATTACCAATAGACATACACGCACAAATACAGAATTGAGTCCACACAACATTTTGGAGTCCAGACAGAAAACGCTAAAAATTATACAGTAAGACATCAATTAAATTTAATGAGCAATAAGGTGCAGTGCCTATAAATAAATAGTGAAAATAGTTATGTGTTTGTATGTACAAATTATTCTTACCGGTACTGCTACCACCGGTTCAAAGGAAAAGTAGCAGAACCGGTACCAAAAACCAACGTTTACATTTGAGAAAAGAACTGTAGTAGCCTACTTACGACTAATTCAAACTGTCCTAATCAAACTGTATTATAGGTGTTAATTAGTTGGCAATTATATAAATAAATAGATACACACAGGCCACAAAACATGTAACATGTAACGTAAACAACGTAAAGCTTTGAAAACTCACTATGGTTTGCTAAAAAAAACTTTCACTTGATGTGGTGCAGTACCGGTACCAAAGTTATTGATCTCCTTTGGTTTTATACTCCGTTCAAACAGCCGTGGCACCTGACGGATTAGAAGACCCCATGGAAACCCTTGGGGCCTCCTAATCCCTCAGGTGCCACGGCTGTTTGAACGCACTATAATTTTTTTTTTAGTTTTCGAAAATCAAAGTTATTTCCTATAATAGCATTATTTATAAGCAGCTTTTAATGTTAACATATTAATGACAGTTTGAAGAAACCACCTTTATCCAAACAAAGGTTCTTAAGATTACGTAATCTCTAAACGATAATCGGTACATATATCTAGCAAACATTCGGAGGAAATGTGACAAAAAACGCACAAATCTGGGGTTTTGTAGTTTGTAGTTTTATTTCCTAAGTAGGAAAAGTACCGATATCGTTGTCGAAATGTAAGTAAGTAGAAACCAAAAGTGACACATTGGAAAAGCGAGTTTAGCTACATCTGTTAAGTTAAACCTCTGTTACGGTACGATCACAGCGAAATCAGAAAGATCTTCCAAGATCGCAGCAACATCCACGATCACCCACTGCAGTCGTGATTTTTTACTTTGCACTTTACACAACTGTCCTTGAAGCGCCGTCAATGAGTGGAAACCTTTGTAAGCTACGGTATTAGTGACGATGATTAACAAAATGTAAGTTTCCTTGCACTAATACAACACTGATTCACGGTATTTTCCCCGGTTATCAAAACTCAAGAACAATCGTCGCACTTGCGATTAATTAAACGGGTTAAGTAAGGCACAACGTTTTTAATCTCACTTGGTTTGGATGTGCTGACAACACTTTTTTTTATTTATTTATTTACTTTACAATCTGTTCTATTACATATGGAACAATAAGTAAATACTATCATATACTATGTAATACGAAAAATTGACTTTGGAACATTAAAAATAGCTGTTAAGCACTCTCAACAACAAATTTGTCAATAAAAACACTTTTCAAAAATCTGTAGGGCAGGTCCAGAATTGATGGCCTCTTAAGTCTGTAAATTGTGTCCATGTTGTTTAATAAGTTAAGAGCTAAATGATTTTGATGAGATTCCAATTTCGTAATATATCGTTCACTTATGGTCATGATTTCGTCCTTAACTGTAGGCATCTTAAGATCTTGATGTAGTGTTCTATTGCTGACATACCATGGTGCATTTGTTATCTTCCTCAGCATTGTCGATTGGTATCTTTGGAGAATTTCTATATTATAAGTACTCGCTGAGCCCCATATTCTTTTTGTCTATGCCCATAGTTGCACTCCATATGTCCAGATTGGTTTCAATATAGTTTTATATAGCAACAATTTATTTTCTAGACTAAGTTTTGATTTCCTTCCGATGAGCCAATTTAACTGATTAGATTTTAAATCTAGATTGGAAATGGTTGCGGTATTTGTAAACATCTTTTATTGTAAACATATCGGTGACAGCTAGAAATGAGAACTAATCCAAACAGCTGATCTTTATTTCATAAAATGTAATGTAATAGTAAACATTGGGAGAAAATTTGACAAAAATCGAACAAAATTGGGTTTTTGGTGGTTCGTTATTTTGTTTTCGAAGAAGCCAGACCATGTTTTTATAGCCAAAGACACTCTCACCAATCCAGCAAATACAGAAAAATGATTAAAACCTTGATCTGTACTCTAGTTTTCTAGGAGTAGGCCGCGTAAAATGACATTTTGGCGTTACAGACGGAGCCACAGAATGGACAGACAGACATACAGACAGAAATTGAGATAAGACTCGTTTCGGCTTTCTTAGGCTATGAAACGTGAAAATAACCAAAAACCGCATGATTCTAAGCAATGTACAGACAAAACTGTGATTTTATTTATATAGATGTATTTTTTATAAAAATTAAAAATCCCTAATCAGTGCGTGTAACAAAGAATTGGCGCGATTAATGTAGTTTTAACAAGTTTATTATGAATTGATAATGGTTGGTTATTTTAAATAAAAAATACTCCACTAGAGCAAACCGGCAGACTGAGCGAATTGCCATTTACCTAGTTGTTGAATTTTCACTAAAATATTCCCTTAAAATTGTCAGATTTATTTTCTATCTACATAATATAAATTTTAATGAGTAGGCTACTTAGGTCTGCCGCCACATGGAATTGAATAAATTGTGTTTTTATTTAAATGTTAAGTTTAGCGTAAAATTTATTGATTAAAATATAATACCTAAACAAGCAAATTACTACAGTTTATTTATTCTTGATAAGAATAAGGTAGGAATTTTAAAAATTACAGAATATTGGAATTTTGTCCGTTACCATTAGGCGTTAACCAACGCTTCAATATACTAAATTATTTGAATATTTACTTAAATCTTCAAAACGGTTTCAAAATTAATTGAAAATTAGTATGTTCTGTGGGTCAAAAATGAAGCCTGTTCCCATAGCCCGATCATGCATACGTTTGTACCCAATTTCGTCAAATTGGTAGATTTTTCTTCTTACCAACAGACACACACACACCTCACATATATCACTCATATATGTGATATACCACATATATATAAAGAGCTTAAAAAACAAATAATTTAGTATATCAAAGTGTTTTTGTACGTTTATTGGTAACGGAGAAAATTCCAAAAAATATAAATTAAAAGTTCCCATGTTATTCTATTGGAGAATATTGTAATATGTTGTAGTTTGCTTGTTTATGGATATATTTTGATCAAACTTGGATAATTAATTTATTTTATACCAAGCTATTAATATTTTACTAAAAAATCTCTTTATTAGTTTCCTCGTAGCAGCAAACCTAGGTACATGTTAAACCTAATGTTATATAAATAGGTTTAATTGAATATCAATTCACAAATGGAAATTCGCTTAGTCGGCAAGTTTGCTGCGGCGGGAGTATTTGTTTTCAAATCTGTAATCTGTTCTATGTAATTCTTATGGGGAAAATCCATCTTTGAGAGAGCCTTGGACCCTTATGGGTATGCATTTTTAATTCTAAAACCTTATTGCAAAACAAAAAATTGACACAAATTGTTCGACACCTCAAACGTTGAAATTGGTCCACAGACAAGGGAGGAGTAGTGTTCGCAAAACACGGCTTCACGTATTACAAATTATCTGTATAGATATACAGAATTGTAAATTGTATACAAGATACATATACATTATCTTTATGTATGTACAAATTATCCATCATTTTAAATCCATTATTATTATTCTCCATTCAATGATTGAAAACAGGCGTGCTTACAGAAGGAAACAGCAACAAATGCGGGTGCAAGTAGACGAGGAACCAACTGATGTCATGCCGTAGATAGGCTTTACTTTCAAACAGCAAACAACCCTGTAATCATTCTTTTTCAAGAAGTGAACAGGAGCTCCGATTAATGATTAGAAGAAATATAGAATCGTTGTTTGTCCTAAAAACATACGTAGTCCCTAAATTTAGAAAATATTTTCACATAAATAATGGCCCCTGACTAAACTAATCGCTCATTGAAGACTGTTGTTTCAGATACACTGGCCACTGTCCCACGCTTAAGTTTAAGATCGGGAAGCGATATGGAGCCAACACTCAAGAGATAATGAAGGTAATGAACATAAATATCACTTTTACACAAACAAAGGTTCATAGGGAGCAGCTATTAAATAAATTTGAATATTGAAAAGTCCATAAAAGACTTTGCTAACTGATAAAACTTGTATTCAACTAATAATAATAACTATAACGTTTATTTTCGATACGGTTGACAAGCCTGTCAACTTTATAAATTTTCCCAAAATGACTCAAATGCAAAATAGTCTGCAAATTCGTAATATTGTACTAGAGAATAGATATGATTAACATTGTAAGGGGAATGGACCTGGAAATACATTTGTAATTTAACTTTTAAATCGTCATGATATTGTAACTGTGGTATCTCTGTGTGCAGGAGCTGAGTGATCGCGGGGTGCTTAAGAGACACTTTGCACACGAGTACAGACAACCTGACCCTCTACAGGCAATGCTTACTGATGGCAAATTCTCAGTCATCGAACATTCCAAGGGTCAAACCAGAGATCTCAAGATCGATTCCAGTAATCGCTGCCGTCGCTACATCTTAGGCTACACGGGTGAGCTCATTATCATGGGTAGCTCCCTTTTGCCTACTCAAATGTTAGATAGATGGTGAACATTATATGCTAATGAAATATGTAATAACTAATCTGGCCACTAAACGTATTATTTACTAACAAGAATTACGATTGCAATAGCTTATCACACACAGTATACACAGTATACACTAAATACCATCAAAAAAGAAATTTGATTTTTGCCATTACTACCCATTTATTCACAAATTGAGATGGTAAGTGCTTAATGTTTAACCCACAGAACTAACGCATTGTCTCTAACATTAACCATTCCCTCCACAGGTTACATTCCAGGCATGCACTTCCGCTACGGGACGTCATTCAGGCGCGCCGCTGACCTGAGTGTGTCAGAGTTCTCTAGGAGGATGTCCCAAGAGGCGAGTCGTCGGGCGCTAGAGGGTGCTGGAGTGAGAGCAAGGAGTCGTAGCGCTCCTAGGCTGGCCAGTATACGTGCTAGAGACCAGGTCAGGGGGGCCCTGGACCAGTACTGCCAACACAACAAGTCTGAAGGTCAATAATACGTAGCAAGATACTTAGACTACACAGTACAATAAGTCCATCTGAGATAAATGCAATTCCCAGGCCAGTACTCCACCAATAAATCGACTGTCTAATAATGTTGTCACAACTTTTAGACTTGTGTAAATAATGTAACTGTAGAAAATACAATTCATCATCTTAACACAATACCGTAGTAAAGGTAGGAATACAATTGAGGTATGTGAGGTTGTATTGAGTTACGCTAAAACCTGACGAGCTAACCTGTAATTAGCCTGTAATTAACCTGGTTAACCTGATATTACCCTGTAATTAGTGAGCTTTTTATGGGTTCTTTTACAATTTAGAAGATTATTTTTGTCTTGTTTAGATAAAATTGTACAAAGAAAGTAATTCATCTCAAATTTTGCTAAGCTGTAGTTGCATTGGTTTACCAAAATATTAAGAGTAGTTTCCTCGCAATTGCACTCTATCCAATTATATACATACTGTGATATCTATAATTTAGTATCTCCATCGTACGCAAACTACGTCACTAGTATCATACAGTCATACGATATATAGTGATATAGCAATGAACTCCACTTGACCAGACCTTTAAAATGACGTGCATATCAACCTATGCTTACATTAAAGATTATGCACCTACTCCTCATGGGCCGTCCCCTGGTGAAGGTCAAAAAATGGTAATGCTTGCAAAAAGTAGTTTTCATACATATAAGTTGATGTGTAAAGTTTGAATTTTCTAACGAATTTAGTTAAAAAGATATCAAGCAGTTTCCAGACTTTTTTGTCACCCTGTATAGTAGAAATAGTCATATTTCCATAAACTCATTTTACCAAGTGATATAAAGTCAGGTTTACTGTGATATGTTAACCTATGTAATGTCTGCAGAGGCACACATCACTCCAGAGTTCCCTCCCATCGCAGGATACACTGGTCACATCCCCAGAGTGAAGGGGACAGAGGCATCGTTGAGTCAGCGCTACCACACGGCAGCCAAGCGAGGCCTTACCTTGTTAAGATAGGTGTACTGTGATATGTTAACCTATGTAATGTCTGCAGAGGCCCACATCACTCCAGAGTTCCCTCCCATCGCAGGATACACTGGTCACATCCCCAGAGTGAAGGGGACAGAGGCATCGTTGAGTCAGCGCTACCACACTGCAGCCAAGCGAGGCCTTACCTTGTTAAGACAGGTGTACTGTGATATGTTAATCTATGTAATGTCTGCAGAGGCCCACATCACTCCAGAGTTCCCTCCCATCGCAGGCTACACAGGTCACATCCCCAGAGTGAAGGGGACAGAGGCATCGTTGAGTCAGCGCTACCACACGGCAGCCAAGCGAGGTCTTACCTTGCTGAGACAGGTGTACTGTGATATGTTAACCTATGTAATGTCTGCAGAGGCCCACATCACTCCAGAGTTCCCTCCCATCGCAGGCTACACTGGTCACATCCCCAGAGTGAAGGGGACAGAGGCATCGTTGAGTCAGCGCTACCACACGGCAGCCAAGCGAGGCCTTACCTTGCTGAGACAGGTGTGTATTGTACAACTAGACTACTGGAGACACAATCCTGCTCACATATTACATATCACCTCATACATAAACCCCGCAGGTCCACAGTATTGATACATGTGTGTTTACCTACAAGCTTACACTCAGGTACAAATATATGCTTCCATATAAACAAAAGCAGAGATAAATAAATAGCTTTCATACTCATACAAGCCTTAAATCTGAAATATAACAATCTATCCACTTACATACGTGTTACACATTGAAATCTACTTTATTTGGATATCAGCACACTATACTAACTTGTCTATCGATGGCTAAATTCAGCTTCGTTCATTTGTTTATTATAAAACTGGTTACAGATTTAGTACTGAATGGATTCTCTAGTTCTACTAACAGTCAAACACTATAATATACAATATTTTGTGACATGTATGTCTGTGCTAAATGCTAGAATTTTAAATTCGCTTGTACACTCACTTTTATAATTGTTATGTACCAGCATAGAACAATACTACGCTATGTACACATTATCGTTGCTCTATTAGTTGCTCACAACATAATTCAGCACCAAACAGCAACACAAAACCTCCTACACGACGACATGTCTACATTCTACAAGTCCTTCCGCTTAATACCTACATATCAAAAGGGAACACGCATGCTTAGAGCACATTTGCAATTCCTTGTAAATAAAAGCATATTGGTTCTGTATAAATCTACTCACACATATACAGGGTGTTTCAGAATTAGTGTCGGATATTTTAGGGTATTATTCCTGGGTAAGAAACATATCCAAATATCATATTTAAACAGTCTGGAAGTCTTTATTTACTCAAACAGCCACCATTTTGTTTTTTTCCTTTAATATTTTTTTAAAAGAGAATGGTAAAACATACGAAATTGAAACTTTGCACAAACATTTCTGACTACTAGACAAAGCTACAAAACAATTATGAAAATTTTCCAAATACATAAAACAAAATGGCGGCCATTTAAAATTTTGTTTCTTAAATAACTCAAAAACTGTTGATTTTATGAAAATTTTACAAGAATAACTTTTTTTAGGTAATTTTATTACAAATCGATTGACACCTTAATCTTTACAATTGGACGTATAATAACTAAAATATTGCAGTTTTAGTGATACGTGACCACTGGAGGTTAGTTGTAGTGCATGCGGAGCCTTGCATTGTTGTGGCAGACTTTAGCCGCATGCACTACAACTAACCTCCAGTGGTCACGTATCACTAAAACTGCAATATCTCAGTTATTATACGGCCAATTGTAAAGATTAAGGTGTCAATCGATTTGTAATAAAATTACAGTACCTAAAAAAAATTATTCGTGTAACATTTTCATAAAATCAACGGTTTTTGAGTTATTTAAGAAACAAAATTTTAAATGGCCGCCATTTTGTTTTATGTATTTGGAAAATTTTCATAATTGTTTTGTAGCTTTGTCTAGTAGTCAGAAATGTTTGTGCAAAGTTTCAATTCCGTATGTTTTACCATTCTCTTTTAAAAAAATATTAAAGGAAAAAAACAAAATGGCGGCTGTTTGAGTAAATAAAGACTTCCAGACTGTTTAAATATGATATTTGGATATGTTTCTTACCCAGGAATAATACCCTAAAATATCCGACACTAATTCTGAAACACCCTGTATAAGTTGTGAAAAATGTTTACTTTATTGATTACCAGTAAGTTACCTTACATAATGATTTAAGGAGATAGTATCGCTTGTCAACTATTGCCAGTACCCTCGGCTGTTTGCTAGAGCATGTGTGAATTGATAAGTACACTGTGTACCTTTCTGACACAGCTTATGGGTGAAAAAATTACACATCTTGCAAAGATATAATAAAATGTTCACTTTACCCTAGATTTACAATTTGCAAAACAATAAATATTTTTTAGTTAAAACAAAACTGTTAAAAGCAGAATAATACTTATCTTTCAATCGCTCCTTTGATTTTCTTATATTTGTTAGAATACTAAATGTATCATTTTATTTAGCCAAAGCGCCACTGAAAATATTCTTTATTATAAATTCTTTATTATAAATATAAATTGTAGCAAGAGGGGACGATAATTTATAAATACAGTTTGCAACACTACAGTTAATTAGTATTGACCATTTAGGCCAGTTATAAAACTAAATTATTCTACTAGATGAAAACAAGATCGAAGTCTGTTTATATGTAATGTTATGTTACCATACAATTTTATGTTATGTATATCAAAATTATTGAGGATTACTTCACATAAATGGTAGCCTAAACCATGGAAAAATACGATCAGGTTTGTAAATTTAAATAGCTCAATTTATTGGTTTATTGTTAGTACTCCTCCTAATGTACAGCACATATTTGATTTCACATTAGAGTACATATTCAATGCAGAGTTCATTGCTAGTTCCAATACTACTTTTGAGTAAATTCCAAAGTACCCACCTTGAATCTTGAATAAGAAAACTATTTAGCCAAAAGCTACGTTCTGTAACAAGGCTAGAAATATCTTTAGTGTTATAACGGATTAAATAGTTTAAACATAACATTTTGAAGGGCAATCGTTTACGGTTTGGCTCAGTTGTTGCTATTTCTGCTCAATAGCTTGCAATTAACAATGGTGTATTTGTAATACACTTAAATAAAATGGTTCACGAGGTGTATAACAATGCATAGTAACTTCCAAAAATGCAACAAGATGGCATCAACTGCTTGACTCCATTGCTTATAAAGGTTTTAGATATGAGCTCTTAGTTGAATATGTAATACTCATGTACAGTGTATAAAGGCCTGCGTTTCCAGGAAGGTAGCACTTCATTATCACGGACTATGACCAAAGAAAGGAACAAATATTTTTTACTAAAGGCTAATATTTTAAAACGCCAACCAAACAGTATTTCACTTCAACCATCAGGCATTGAATACTTCTTGCGTACTTCAATTCTTACTTTTATCTAAACTTCTGCACAAGAAGTAAATTTTCCTTTTCAATTTGTTAAACATCAAAATGGTTGCAAAATCAATCAGTTTGTACACACTTACTAATGAACTGCTACAATCCGTGGTTTAGCGGTGACATGTGTATGTATGTGTATGTGTGTTGTTGTTGTTGTTGTTGTTGTTGTTGTTGTTGTTGTTGCTGTTTGCCGTTGCTTGTTCAATGTTGAGATGCTTGCTAGGAGTCGGAGGCATATGAGGCATCGCAACACTCCTTTTCCCGCTCTCGCTAGTTTCTTCCCTCCAAGTGTAAGTACTTATCTGTGTACACATCGTTTAAACTTTAGTGTATATGCGAATGAATATTTTATATCAATTATTCTGATTTTATTATAATCTATATTCTTTGTTTGAAGTTCATTGTTGGTGATGGTGAGTTAATGTTGTTCAAAGGTTTAATGCGGTCATTTTCCATCACGATTGTAAAAAACATTACACAACGTTTCGGGATCTGGAATCTGTCCCCGTCCTCAGGTGAAAAAAAATTAACTAACACATTACAACTAACAATACGCAAACGCCCAACCTAAGTTGGAATACACTACAGAAGGTACCAGTCAAAAATATGCACTGTATAACAGTCAAGTCATGATACAACATGCAAATAATAACCAAAATCATTGGAGACATTGGTTTGACGTAGTCTCATTGGTGGAGTCATTGCGAACGGTGCTATTAGTGTTCCATTGTATGAGCTTTTTACGTTACACCTTTTATAGATTATAGTGTTTTGTGATTGGTTATTATTTGCATGTTGTATCATGGCTTGACTGCTATACAGTGCATATTTTTGACTGCTACCTTCTGTAGTGTATTCCAATTTAGGTTGGGCGTTTATGTATTGTTAGTTGTAATGTATTAGTTAAGTTTTTTCACCTGAGGACGGGACCAGATTCCAGATCCCGAAACGTTGTGTATTGTTTTTTACAATCGTGATGGAAAATGTCTGCAATAAACCTTTGAACAACATAATCTATATATTAGTAGGCAAGCTCATATATATTTTTGTTTGTTTTTGGATTATAAAATTTTAAATAAAAATAAATGTGTATAGATTGGTACTTAATGAGGTTTGCGTCAAATGAGTGCAGTGTTTACACCACAATGTTAGCTATGTTACGAGTATTTGTAAATTTTATAACCAATGTATTGGTATGAAACATAAAATAAGTCATAAAGACGTAAATATGAGTTTTCTTAAGTACATTGCCACCGCATAAAATACTGTATGTATTTGGTTCAAAATGAAAACTATAAGCAAATCACTATTCTTCGTGTACACACAGAGAAGGAGGGAAGATTTGTGTAGTTACAATAATCTACGTCAGGTAGCAGCACAAATCAATACTGAAGTCATGGTAGTACTTGGAGTCGTCGCCGCGATAGCAGCACCTATAGGTACGTCGGTAGTTACAGTTAAAACTACACCCGCTAGGTTGAGCACGCATCCCCGTGTTAAATAAAACTGTAGTAACAAACAATTTTTTTATAAACTCAAACATTTTTTATCATGCATGTACTTTACCAGCAATTGACGTGGTTTAAACATTATTGTTAAAATAACAAAAAAACTTTGATTTAATTTTTCTGTGATGATTATTAGGGGTTACCTTTTGCGTATTTATTCCTAACCAAACAAAACACTTTTCTCACTACATCAGCAAACGTGTAAGATGATCAAGATTTTCGTGAATTTCCCTATAGGGAAGTAGCTATTAGGGCTACCGTAGGTCTCATGGTAAGACCTATATATTTAAACGTCTGTGAACCGTAAACCGGTGAAAAATTGAGTAACTTTTGTCCGATTTTGATGAAATTTGGTTTAGGCGGGATACACTGAATGAGTTCGCGAACCAGCATGATCGTACCATGGAAACGGGGTTTTATGGGGTAAAAATTGATTTTTCTCATTTTAAACCCTCAAAACACGAAATTTCCAAATTTCTCTCTAGACCTTTTAAAGAGCTTAAAAAACAAATGATTTAGTATATCAAAGTGTTTTTGTAGGCTACGGTTATCGGTAACAGAGAAAATTCCAAAAATTATAATTTTAAATTCCCATGTTATTCTTATGGAGAATATTGTGAAATGTTGTAGTTTGCTTGTTTATGGATATATTTTGATCAAACTTGACTGATTAATTTATTGTATACTAAGCTATTAATATTTTACTATAAAGTACACTTTATCAGTTCCCTTGTAGCAGCAAACCTAGGTACTTGTTATTAAAGCTTATGTTATTTAAATAGGTTTAATTGAAAATCAATTCAGACAAATGGGAATTCGCTTAGTCGGCGGGTTTGCTGCGGCGGGGGCATTTAAGTTTATTACGTGTTGGTTAGTAACGTCGCTTTAAAACAACACCCAAATATGAGTTAAATAATACTTCTAGATATATGCATAAGTGTATTTATAGGTGATTAATACTTAACTCTTACCAAGCACCAACAGCAAATTACGAAACTAGGGCCATATTATATACGTAGTATGTAAGATTTCTCTAGGAAATCTTGTATATCAATTAAACTAAATATATAATTTTCTTCAAATAGTGCTAATCTCATCTTTATACTATAACTGAAATACAATTGCAACAATAATGTAATTTTAAGGTAATGTTCAATGTAATTTTGTTTAGATTGTCGGAGATTTGTATGTGTGACACAACATTGGACTATTGTAACATATTAGTATGGTGAATATGGTAATTGTATGCAAAAATGTAGCTGTACAACCGAGCGGTGGACACGCGCTGGCTTATCTGCTAAATAAATACAACAGTATCTGTATAAAACTAATGCCGTTTGTGCTAATATTAGTTTTGATTAGATCCATCGATTACTCGGTTAACCATCCGTGTAGATAAATTAATCGTAATTGCATGTACAAAACGATTGCAAGACAATGAAACTAAAAAGTCCGATCTGCATACTGAAGGTGTATATGGTACTACATTTCGATATACTTACATATTATATTGCTTTTTACAATATTGATACCACACCATCGCTAGCTAGTCTCGGCAGTTCGAACCGAGATCTGGGCGCTGTAGATGCAATGTAGCCTAGAGGATCTTTTGAGTCATCATACACAATTCAATTACAGTTTGAGAAAGAGAGGTTTAAAAAAATAATGTTTAATAGTAGGTCTAAATAAAATATAAATATAACGAGCTGTTGGCCCGTCCTACGTACGGGATTGAAAAGTCAACTAAAACTGAAATTATATTAATATTTCCATTTCTAATCCAAGCAAAGTTCAAGCAGTTAACCATTTCCTGTAAACAAAAAGCTGCCAAGATGAATTAAAACATGTACACATTGTTATTTTACTATTCTTTCCTCAAAAAGTCGAACAGAAAAATAATTTGCATAATTTTTCCTTTGAATACTCGGGGGCAGATCCTCGATTTGTATACATCAGTGGTTATAGAATCTTGAATCTTACTTATTTTCTATATTCAATGCCAACATCCCAGAATAATAAACTAACCTGTTAGTTTGAAATACAACTTTTATATTCAACCAGCTGTTAGTTAAAACAAATTATATTGCACTAAAACAAACGTAAAATTTTAAAGATTGCTCTAAAAAATAAGTTAGAACATCTATCATTTTACCATGAATATTTAAATAGTCTGCCATCCTCTTACCCATAAAATGGACGTATCAATGAGCATAGCATTACACATAGTATAAATAAGTCAACCCTATGCATGTAATTATTATCCAAATGCTGAATTTGTGACACAAAAGCTGAATATTACCAGCTGTTATGTTAAGCAAATTATTTTATGCCAAAAGCTAGTTTAGAATCTTAGCGTCGGCTGCTAGACTTTTTAAAAATTCAAACTTAATTTCTAAAAAACTGGGACCCTAAACTAAAATTATGGCTTCGACATTCCCTAGTTCTCAAAATTATCTTTCTTTCAACACAAAAATCATGAAAATCCGTCGAGTGGTTGATTCAGAATCGTTAAATAAAAAAACACTGTTTCGTTTTAATATTATAGATAATTTGGTTGCGACTGGTTTAAAATAACACTACTGTTTTCACTCTCTCTAACAAACACATGTTTAGCCTCTCTGGCCGCCATTTGAAGTCTCAAATCGGTAAGCTAATGCAGTATTGATATTGTATATCTTAAGGTGTATAAAATCAAATACAGTAATTTCCTTTTAGGAGTAGTAAAGCATTTTTCAGTAAGCTATCATTTTTCATACTCTAGTTGGAATGGATAGTAGCCTATCTCCGCACACAATACCAACTTGATACCTTTTGATCTTTTAAACGACTTTGTTGATGTTTGATAAGGTAAACGTTTCAGGTAAAAATTATCAAAGGCGGAAGCTTTAAAGGGTCTGCCACTTACAATACTGAGAAATAGCTGAACAAAAACACAACACATGATCGTAAGGGTACAGCTGAACATAATTTCATAATATAAATTATTGAAGGTAGCTCTATCTAAAATATCACCGATGCATCGATTGACCTATTAATTAGTGCAGAAAAAAAACTACTTTGCAACTAAATAAACTCATAAAAACTAACAATATAAAAAATACACTGGAGTTTAATATTGTGGCTGCTGGAAGGCAATGGGCCCTGGGCAAGTGCGCCTTCGATTTGAAATGTATTCAAATAGAACAGGAAAAGACAGACTTGAAATTTGCATAGTTATAATGAATAACAAATATTGACTATTAGCTGCACTATTCCACTAAGTTATTAAACCATTATAGTAACGTGAAACATAGATAATTTCAACACTAATCATGATAGCCATTTGGTTATATTGGTTGGAAAAATGTGTTTCTATATACTGTACTTATTCAATCTAAACAAACCAGTTTGAAAATATGCTTGGAAATAATATTATTTATTTTTGGCTACTTTATATGGGAACAGATGCTATAAGGTAATTGGAAATTGGTTTGCATTCTGGTCCCTGATTGGCTTTAAAAATCGTGGTATTTAAAAGTCACAATAAAAGCGATTTTTGAATCTTAGACATGGTTACACAAAGTATACATGATATGAAAACATAATAGCGTTTAATATACATCCGCCACAGCAAACCACACCTGTAGACTAGGCAAATTTCTATTTGCCTGATATAATTTCCACTAAAATATTTCCTTAAACATACCAGACTTATTCTCTTTTTAAATAACATTAGTTTGAATAATCACTGAGGTTTGCTGATATAAGGAGTGTGTTTTCAGCAATATTTTAGTATCTTGGTA